TCTGTTGACAAAAAGTGGGCAGAATAGGATAAAAAATATGTTAAGTCCTTCAAAATAAAACATATAAATGATGTTTTATATAAACATATTTATATAAACATATAAACAGTCATTAAGTGCTCAATACTGTGGGATGAGCAGTTGTGTAAATACAGAAATACATTCAGATAGCTCTGCTATACAACTTAGCTATTATGCCCAATTATTAATTTTCTTAGGATATAATTATTATTCTTTGATCATTATAAACCATGGCTGTGTCACCTGACTGAAATATATTTTCTCTATCCAAAGCCAAAGCATAATTGCCTAGAGCTCAGATTCTAGATTTCAGAAAGGTCTGAATGATCCTAAATGGAGTGGGATGAGTAGATGGCAGGATGTTATAGACTGGTGTTGTGGTGATGCTTCAGCTGGGGAAAAACTATGCTTGCCAAAACAGAAAATGATGTGATTTATCAAAGACATATTAGAGGAAATGGATCCTAAGTAGATGGGTAAATTAAAAAATGGACTGATATGTCTGGCAAATATTAGATACAGGATTACCAAGAATGCAGTATTACCCTTTATTTATTTTGATTTGTATGACTGCTCTTTTCATTGACATGATTCTGGGTGGCTTACAAGAGAAAAACACAACCTAAACAGCGTAACAACAAATATATAAACAGCAGCTTGGATAAAACTAGAAAAAAATAACAGAAACTGAGATTGTAAATACATCCTCCCAAAAAGGCAAAATATGATGTGCATTAGAAACGTGTAATAGATTCAGTCAAACCCATAGGTAAATAAAATTCCTTTATTAAGAGTAATGATGCCAAGAAGACTGGATAGAATGACCAAGTCTCTGTCTATGTAGTTATAGGAATTGAGTTTGACTTGAAGAATATTAAAGCAGATTGTGCATTTCTGCTTGTACCCACAAACCTTTGAATTTCTGAATCTCATTTTGGATCCTGGTTTGCATACTTTTTGTAGGACATCAGTACCAGCTGAACAGTATGCTTGCATTGAATTATTTATGTATTTTTATTTTACATATTTCTATCCTACTCTAGCCTTAACAGTCTATATTGAAAATAAAACCAGTTAAAACAACCAGTGTATAAAACTTCCATCAAAAAGTAGCAATAACATTAGCCAAATAATTAAAATAAAAGTTAAAAATAGTATAATAAAATCTCAGGGGAAGGATCTCCAAATTCTGCTTTTGCTAACTTCTGTGTATCAACAAGGAGGGGACCATCTTTATCTCTGCCAGGAAAGTTGTTTCAGAGTGTTAGCACTGCCACTGAAGCACAATGTTTTCTGGCTTCAGTTCCTCAGACCATATAATAATGTGGGATTAATAAGTTTTCGAGTTGATCTGATTTGTTGGGCCAGTCCTAGTTGGAGTAGACAAACCTATGAATACCTAGTTGGACCTATATAGTGTTGCAGACACTTATTTACTCCGATGGTGCTGTTTTCTGGCATTAATTATATTGTTAATTGCTGAAATAGAATATGAATGTAAGCAATATCACTTTTAAAAATATGGTTTTAGAAATTCTAATAATTATAAGATCATTTAATTTTTTTGGAGTAAAAGTTCAGATAGTTAAAATTCCTACTGATCTTCAGTAAAATCTGTGTATGTATGTATGTATGTATGTGTATGTATGTGTGTGTGTATGTATGTATGTGTGTGTGTATGTATGTGTATGTAT